ACGAGTGGGCAGTTTTCGGTTCGCGGGAGGGCGTCGCGGCCGTCATTTTTGGGGGTCCAGGTCCGTTGGTTTCGGTCCTGGGCCGTTTTAATTACATGGAGGTTCACGAACGGGAGGCTTGTCCACCGCCGAGATGCGTGGGCCACTTCCCCGGAGCCCCTCGAGGAATGAAAAAGTCATGAAGGGAGATGTGTCGCCATCGTTTGCCTCTGGGGGCCCTTGCCGGGCCTCGGGGCCGTCAAGAAACGACCCGGGATGAAAAGCCCGTCCCAGGGAGTGGGTCGAGACCTTTGGGGGTCGAAGTTGTGAAAAATCATGGCGTCGGGGTCTGGGTCCGAAGGTCTGGACCACTTCCCTATAAGGCTGGCTCTCCGTCCTGGATCGTCCTCCGACGCTCCCGCGCCTTGAGGCGGAAAACGGCTAGAAACCCGCTCCGATTCCTTTTTGGGGCGTCGAATCTCTGGAGGGTCAAGGATCAAGGAGGGGAAGCAGGAGGGGGAGCATCGAGGAGGAGGCAGGGGGAGGGAGGAGCATCGAGGAGGGGGCAGGGGGAGCATCGAGGAAAGAGAATCCGGGGGAGGCAGGGGGACCGAGGAGGATCGAGGATGGGGGAAGAGCAACGAGGAGGAGGAAGAGGAGAACGAGGAGAACGAGGAGGAGAATCGACGGCGCCGGCGCCGTGGCCGCGCCCGACGCAGGGCCGCGGCCACGGCGGGGGCGGCCGCGGCGGACGCCGGCGGCGCGGGCCCGGGCGAGGGGGCGGCGGCGCCCGCGGGCAGGAGCAGGCCCTGCGCTGCCCCCTCCGCGGAGGGGTCGCAAGCATGGTTTCGGGCGTGTGTCAGAGGAGGAACATCGGAGACTGGAGCGTATACACTGAAGCTCGCTGAGGGGCAGCGAGCGGGGGAGAGGGAAGAAGGGGGAGAGGGCAGTGCTTCTGCAGGGCAAGAGCGAGCATGAGCAGCCCAACCGTCGGCAAGAGCAAACCTGAAATGAGAGCTTCTCGCGAAGGGCGGCTGGAAGGATTGCTGTTGACCGACCAAGCGCGCCCGCCGAGCGTGCGGGGATCTGGCCCTCGAAACAACGCTGCCCCCCCAGCGAACTTCAACATATACATTACCAGTGGCGGGCTCTGTTTCAATTCCACGACTTTTTGAGGGTCGGGGACGGCGTCGGTGTGGTGTGGTGTCTACTTCTCCCTGGTTTTCCGTGGGGAACAACGAAATATGTATACACCAGACTCCCGTATACACCAGGGTCCGCGTTCCTGTATTAATTTAATCGCAGGGTCGGAAAAAGCGTCGGTGTACAGAGCTCGTTTCCTTAGAATAGGTACCCATACCTCTACCCTTCGCCCGCTTCCCCTTTTTGGGGGGCCTCCTGGGAGGCCCTCGCCAACACCGCTGGATTCGCCTCGAAATTCTGGTCAGAACGCACCCCAGGAGAGGTCTGGGGAGTAGCGGTACCGATACCTTTTGATTTCCCCAGTGCGGATTGCGGGCGGACCGAGGCAGAAAGTCGCGGTCGGTTCGGGGAGGATGCGCCCCAGGGTTCGTCGTGCTTGTCGGCTGTCCTTGTGCATCCTGGGGGGTGGTCCCTCGAGTGATCTGATGGTTTGGGGTGTTTTGGCCGGCGAAGGGTCTCATGTTCTTGGAGGGCGTTCATCCGTCCTATGGGTCCGACCGTACCGACAGGAGGAGAAGAAGGGTGACTCGAATTCGCCAGAACTCGGGTTTCCCGATGCTTTTTGACAGGCCCACTCCAAACCTTCGACGCTGCAGTGCTCGTGGGACGTTTGCAGCGGGGGCCTCTTCATCTTCATTTTCCTCCCGACTCCGTCAAGCCAGCCCGAGTCAGAAGCCAGGCGAAGGCTGGCAGACCCGTGGCCCATGCTAAAACAGAGCTCCGGGAAACTGTGTTTTTCTTCCAGGAAGCAGCCCGTCAACTTCTAGCGCGCTGAGTTTTATTCCTGTAATTTGTTTTTTTCCTTCCAGGGAAGACAGTTTCAGCAGCCACGGGTTTGCCAGCCCTCGCCCGGTTTCCGACCGAGTCCCCCGAACCCGAGTATTATGTCTCCACGATTCTGGCGACCACCCTCGATAATCCTCGATCGATGACGCTCAGAGGAGGAAAAGGCACCGCTGGTGAGTAGGGTGATCCAGGGGCAACGTCCTCCCCCTCCTCGGATGTTTTCGTCGGTGTCCTCGGCGGTTTTCCAACCTCAGGATGTGTTCCGGGAGCTGCTCCTCGCCGAGAGCGTTCCCAGGGTTGCCCAGATCGTCCCGAACGACCGCTGGAAAGCCGAGCCATGATCCGAAAGCCAGGGGCAACGCAAGGAGGGGAGAATCAGGCACAGAGGAGGAAGAAAAGGTACCGTTACCGCCACCCTTGCCTCGCTTTTGCCTTTTCGGTCTCACGGGAGGCCCTCGTCGCCACGGCTGGATTCGCTTCGAAATGCTTGTCAGAACGTTCCCCGGGAAAGGTCTGGGGAGTACGGTGAGGGCATTGGGTAATGAATGTGCCCAGGAGGTGTCAGACCCTGGAGGACTCCTTAGCTGATGAGGGCGGTGGCGATAACCCTGGCCGATGCCCAATTGGAGTTCCACTGGCTTCTAGACCCCGGATTCCTTATCCAAGGCTTCCTTATTCAATGCCTCCGCCGTAGCGGTATCGCCAGGTTTGGGCTCCCATCGGTGCACGGCGTCGGCGACACGGGCCGACGATGCCGACGGCCGACGACCTCTCTGTGGGTCCCTGCTGGTGCTACTAGCAGGGCGCTGGCTACACGTGGCGCGGCCAGCCCGGGCGAGGGCTCGATGCACGCGTGGGGCGGTCCGGGGAGGGATTGGAGGAGTCTGCGTCCGTTTCTCTGGCAGAAGGCCAGCGTTCAGTCGGGCCTGTCCCTTTACAGGAGAAGCATTCCAAAATAGTGAAACAATAGTCTGGGGATGATTTTGTTGACAATGTTTGACCATTTGGGATCATTTGTAAAACTATTTGTGATTTTTCGCCCAAAATGCCCTGTAGGGGGACATGCCCAACCTCAGGCTAGCGGAAGGGAAGCGGGCCCTGCTCCTCCGGCGGCAGCCGGCGGAAGAGGCCAGAGCAGGCCGGCGGCTTTGCATACAGACAATCGGTAGGAATTCAAAATGCTTGTTGTATTCAGGTTGTCTTGGAATCCGCCACATGATTTGCGGCCTGACTGTGCGCGAGCTGGATACACATCTGCAAATGCCTCTCCAGAGGTCAGCCCCTCTAGGGCCGGTGTAGGCTGGGCTTCCGCATGCGTATCCAGCGTGCGGCTTCCTCGCATTCCACAAGAATCCAGCCACGTGAGCTTCCGGCTTCCCTTTGCAATTATCTTTTGCCGCCTTCATGCCGAGCTTGAAGAAGAACCACTGCCGCATTGACATACACGTTCGGAGGTCCGCGCGGATTTCGTGGGTCGGCGCTGGACCCCCTCCCTGGCGGCGCGGAGCTCGCCAAGTGCGGCGCCGAAGGCGCCGGCAAGGGGGCCCGGCGCCGATCCAAGGAATCCGCGTGGATTTCCGACGGTTCATGTTTATGCAGTTTTTTCCATGTTTTACCGAGCGCGTTCCACCACTCGCAAAGTGCCTACTCGCAACCGTGCGAAAAACACATGTGTGCCTCGTTGTGTTGGATCGCAAACCCCTCGCGGCGGATCCGGGCCATTTGCGAGCAGCTACCTTGCGAGTGGTGGAACGCGCTTGTCTACTATTCACGCCGAGCGCGAGCGACCCATCCCCAATCATGGAGCCAGGTCCGTCCTTCCTGCGGCCAGGTTGGCGCGCTTGGTCGCTCTGATCTCTGCAGATGGAGAGTCGCGCGGCGCCGCGGTGTGCGTGCGAGGAGCCGGCTCTCGCGGCGCGTCGCCCAGGGCAGGCCCCCCGACCCGGTCGGTCCTGTCCGACGTCCGGTGCCGATGTCCGACACCGATATCCGGTGGGGAGCCTTTTTCTTTCTCCTTTTTTCCAACTTAAAATTGCGTCGGAAATCCACGTATAAGGAGCCGAAAAAGTAGGGCGGAAATTTCTGCACCCAACATAAAGTAGAAATCCACAGGAGTAGGGCGGAAACAGCAGCAGAAAAGTAGGGCGGAAATTGGCATCAGCGGGGCTTGAAAAGTAAGGCGGAAATTCCAGGCCCCACTTACGAGATTGCCCAAAGTAGGGCGGATCCGGAGTCAGGGCAGGGTATGGCTCGCTTCCCGGGCCCCGCCCCCGCTCTCCCCGCCCCCCCTTTTGGCAGGCGGATCTCTCTCTCAGGGCTCTCCGCAAGCCGCGGGCGGCGCGCGCGGCGAGCAGGAGCGCCGCGGAGCCACAGGAGAGAGCGCGGCAATTGGCGGCGCAGCTCCGCCCGCGCGGCACAGGTCAGCGAGCAGGAGCACACCCTGACTCCGGATCCGCCCTACTTTGGCTTTTTTTCCGACTTAAAAATTGCGTCGGAAATCCACCTATAAGAGGCCGAAAAAGTAGGGCGGAAATTGCTGCACCCAACATAAAATAGGGCGGCAATCCACAGAAACAGCAACAGAAAAGTAGGGCGGATCCGGAGTCAGGGCAGCAGGACCCCCCGGGGTAGCGCCAACGATCGCACTCGGGGATGGGGGGGAGCCTGGGGCCCCCGCCCCCCCACCCCCCCTACATGCTGTTGTGCACGCAGGCGGGCGATGGATGCGCTGGCAGGTGCCGCGGACGCACCCTGGCGGGTGCACGCCGCGGCCGCCGTTGCCGTCACCCTCCCGCCCTCTCCCCTCTCTCCCCCCCCCCCCCGGGTAACGACAGTTACCCAGGAAAGAAAAAAGGGGCCACATGTCCGATCTTGGACGGTTTCCAATTCCCAGGTTTCTTCTACGTGTTCGTCGCTTCTTGGAGGTTTTCTCGCCGCGGCCTGCTTGCCAGCAGCCGCGCCTCGCCAAGAGCGTTCCGGGGGTGCCCGGATCGTCCCGAACGGCTGCCAGAGACCTGAGGTGACCCCTGACAGGGTCCATTTCCATCCGATCGATTAGATTTGGCAAGTTCGATCCATTCGGATTTTCGATCTTCCGAGGATCCGATGCTGGCCGATGTTTGCATGGCGCTGTTGCGCATCCTGGCGGGGCCGATCCGGTTCAATTTGCGACGTTGACCGATCCTGCCACATGCAGGGGGAGCGATCAGCGCGGGAATGGAAAGCAACCAGCTGACAAACACGCAATTGCGATATCCGTAGCCATTCTGTCTCAAGCATTTTTTCACCAGCCTGAAACATTTCCCTATCCCTACGATTGGCATCGCCTCATCTCGATGCCGATCTTAGGGATTCCCTCCGTTTCTGAGGGCGCATCCCTAAGATTGTCGTCGACTTTTGGCTTGTTAATCTTAGGGATGGGGATACGTTCGAGGCTGTTTAATTTTCATAGATATTTTTCCCTGGGTGCTGCGTGTCCACAGAGCTGATCTGGGGCCGTGCAGCCTCGCGCCCTCCGAGCGTGCTTAACACGTGTCTCTGAATCCAGCCAGTGCATGGGAGCATGCCGCGGCCCTGGCGGCGCCTCCGGCGCCGCCCATGTCGCGCTCCGCGCGCCAGGGAGGGGGGCCCGGCGCAGGTTTAAGAAATCCGCGCGGAGCGTCGACAGTTTGTGTCTGCGCGGTTTTGCTCTTCCTCTAGACGAGGTTCTTCCTCTGGCGCGCGCGCGCCATGGAGGGGGCCCGGCGCAGGTTTAAGAAGTCCGCGCGGAGCGTCGAAAGTTTATGTTTGTGCGGTTTTGTTCTTCCTCTGGAGGAGGTTTGTGCTCGACCTCCTCGGCGCAGTGGCTCCGGCGAGCGTGTCGAGCCTGGTGGCCTGGCTGCCAGGCGGCCAGGGTCCTGGAGGCAAGAGCCCGAAGCTCCCGAACCAACGCAAGGATGTCATCGCCTCGGGGGGGCAGAATATGCCCCTCGGCCTGCTGAACGCCTGCTGGGCCTTATCTAAAGTGATCACTCGGGGTCGGACAGAACCCCCACCCTGACACGTCGATTCGTGAATTGTCCGTTTTCGGTTCTCGAGAGGGCGCCGTGGCCGTCATTTTCCAGGCCTGCGCCCGCTTGTGAAGATTAGTGCGGAGGAGGCCCTCGGCTGCAACACCGAGATCGCTCCTGATTTGTGCCGCCATGCAGCGTTGACGTGCATCCCTGTCGTCACGCACAGTTTCTGGGGGAGCCAGATCATGCAAGATGCTACATCTTTCAACATGCCTATCGCGGTCGCGAACACTCGCGGGGACTGCGGCTGGAACTGCGAGTGGAAGAACATTGGTTCAGCGCAGCTTGTTGGATCGTGATGTCCATGAACAGCAGCATGCAGGTCGTTGCAGTCCCGCCGTGCAATAGAACAGCAGTACGAGTTCCAGGGGCTCGACTTCTCCCAGTGACAGTCCATCCCGTTCTAGAAGCTCATGGCCAGGGGTTTCAGCGACATCGCGGGCGACGCCGCGCTCCTCGCCAGGAAGCTCCAGGGTGCCCGAGAGCAGCATGACTGCAATGCTGAAGAGGAGCGACGACGGGGAGGAGATCTTGGACCTGGCGTGCGTAGTGGGTGCGCGAGAGCCAGGCGCTGTGGCACTTAGTGGCTGCCAGGGCAGCAGCTCGGTTGCAACCCAGGCCAAGGTTTAGTGAACGAGGCTGGCCCAGGGAGCCTCACCGCCGCCGCCGAGTGCGACTGGTGCGAGCCACGAGCCGAGAGCGTCTTCGCGGGCGTCTCCCGGCAGAGAGCGTGCTCCTCGTGCCCGGCCCGATTCTCCCAAGAGTCTCCTGGCCGGACTGTCTGCAAGCTGCGCCAGCTGGGCACGTTCAAATCTTCGTCCGGCAACAGCGAGTGCACACGGTGTCCTGTCGGCAAGGTCGCTGCTGAAGCAGGTACGTTTGGTTGCACCAGTTGCACGGATGATTCGCTGGAGCTCTGGGCGACATTGGAGAAGTCCGTGGTCCTGGGCAAGCCGGTGTGGATTCCTGTCACCGGCGCTGGGTCCAACAATTGATGCGGCTGCGGTTGATTAGGTGCTTACGAAGCCATGGACCAAGCCCAAGTCAACAAGTATCTTGATGATGCGCTGCTTCGCATCAGGTTGGCCGAGACGATAAGGGTACAGCAGCCTGACACGGGGGGCACCCTCAAGCGGGGCGCCACGTTCCATGGGACATGCGCCATCAGTTGTTGCTGACCTTTGGCCGTCGCAGCAGCACGAGCAGTCGGAGCAATGCGGAGTCTCCAGGGAGGTCTTCATTGACGAGCATGAGCAGCGGATCGAGCGTGAGTTGTTCGCCCTCAACTCCTGTTGCCGCGAGCCTCTCCAGCAGTACGGGCCATGCGGGCCGCGCCGGCACGAGCAGCGCGATGGGTGTGTAAGTAGGGCGGGCGCCAGCGCGAGAGATTGGCCGCTGCCCTCGCGCTTTGCCGGGTGGCCCCCTCACCATCAGTGGCGTCGGTGAGGAAGAAGATGGGGAGGAGGAGAATCCTTCGTGTGTGGTTATGTTGCTCCCATTGTACTTGGGGACCACATCCCAGAAGTAATTTCGAGCACCCGGAAAAGTGTCGACAGAGTGTCGAAACAGCGTCGGGCGAGCGTCTCCCAGGGCCCGACACGTGAAAACCATCGAGTTTGGATATTTTTCAGATGCTCAAAATTCTTTTTGGTGGTCAACGCTAAAGTAGGTTGGAACATCATAAGTGTGGGGGTTTCATGTGGTGAGTATTTGTTAGTAAGGATGCGCATCTCAGGTTTGATCGCGAGTCGCCATCGGCAGTGGGAGGATTCGGTTGCTCTCAAGCTGCGCGGGCTCAATGAGCCGACAGTCGTGGCTGTCTGCACTCGGTGACTTGCCGCCATGAACAGAAGCTTTGGGTCGGCTCGAACCAAAGGTGGGGACAGGGAAAGGGGGGGTTACGAAATCTGCTGCATGCAGCTGGTTTCGGCCCCGCCGCCGGGCCCATTCCTCGATACATGGGCGCCTCCCGGCGCCGGGAGGCGCTGGGAAAATCAGCTACGTGAGCTGATTCTCGACCCTAGCCTTTGCTATCCCCCCCTTTGGTTCCCCCCGATTGGGGCCTTTCCTTTCCGCCCCCCTCATCATTAGATTCCTCCCCTCCCTTCTTCCTTCGGCCTGCCACATGCTGTCGACGCACGCCGGGGCCTTTCCGAGGGGGATGGCCTCGGCGTGAATTCGCCGCTTGCCGCCCCTGTGCCAGGAGCTTTGCACTTGCGCGTCGCCCTTTAGATTCGCCCATTTTCTTCTCAGACCGACGCCTTGATTTCTCAATGGTGTGCGTCACTCCGACGCTGGGTCCACTGTCGGATAGTCGGGCTCTCTACCCGCTCGCTTCTCCACTTCGATCCTTGCTGCTGCTCCGCCATGCCCCCACCTCGCATGGCGAGCGCCGAGACGACGAGCGAGTAAAGTGCCCTTTCCCGACTGCCCTGCCTGGGCGCAGACCGCGCGGTGACCTCCCGAGGCTCCGTGCTCGCCTGGTTGATGCACCGATTGGCCCAGGCACGTCACTGCACACGTGCGTGTGTCTTCGGTCTTTTCTGCCGATGCGCCGTCAGGGTGCGGCGGCTTTCTGTCGATGGTTTGCGACAGCACTGGGCGTTCAACTTCTGCGTGATGGTTCGATAAAAAACGCAGTGGCGATAGCGAGGATTGCTGCGGATTTTGGCCAAATGTGTGGTTGGCGGTGGCGTGACAGCACCATTCTGGACGAGCATCGGGTGAGGGCGTTCGGTAGAGGGGCTTCGCTTCCGTGGAATCAGAAGGTTGGTCTCACAGTCTCGGCGAAAGACCCAAGGAAGCCAGAGGAAGTAAGACGAGAGCAGCTGTGTCGGCAGAAGCCGACGGAGTACAAAGGTGACCCCCGAGGTCAAGGCGAGCAAACCCAGGGTTTCTGGAGGCGGCCATTTGCGCCTGCACCCGTGCGGGCGCGCACGCATGTCGAGTCGTGTCGTCTCTCCGTCCCCTGTCACAGGGTTCCTCCTGCGCTGGTGAAGCAAAGTAAGTGCTTGCGCATGTGCATTTATCAAGGGAGGAAAACCACCCAGACTCGACAATTGACGTTTACTGATTGGCCCTGGGCGCTTACTGAACAGCCTTGCCCTGTTCGATTCCTGCCTTGGGTGCGTTTACGAAGCGGCCTCGCTTGTCTGGGTGATTATTCCGTTCCTCTTCCTCCTCCTTCTCCTCCTCCTCCTCCTCCTCCTCCCCCTCCTCCCCCTCCTCCTCCCCCTCCTTCCCCGTTTGGGGGCGGATGTTCTGCCCTCGTATTTGGGCGCCCATGTGGGCCGCTCCAGGCAGGGCCGTGCCTTCGACAGACCGAGGAGGTCTCGCCTCGTCGTCGGCGGTAGGCAGCGGAAGCCGGCGGCAGGAGAACCGGGGGGCGGCTCCGCTGGCGGCGGGCCGGCGGACAGCAGAAGTCAGCCCTCCAAGAGTCAAGCAGTGGCGAAGCGTCCTGGCGTGCCTGTAGGCCTAGCAAGCAATGTTCTAAGAAGCTTCTGTGGTCTGCACGAGATGTTCTCAGAACATTTCTGGCTGGGACCGTCTTGTTTTAACACATCTGGTTAATGATCTAAGGACATTGTTTTGTTCTGAGAACATTTCTGGGTTCTAAGAACATTTCCTGATAGGCCTATAGGAATGCCGGGACGGTCGGTCCCTGCTCAATAGATCCAGGGTTCCCAGATCGCCAAATGTGCTTGGATACAAACAGGGGGACGAATAATGGCATGAACATAAGAACTCGGAGGTCCGCGCGGATTTCTCGGATCCGCGCTGGATCCCCCTGGCGGCGCCACCGGCGCCGCCCTTGGCGCGCTCCGCGCGCCAGGGAGGGGGGTCCAGCGCCGATCCGAAAAATCCGTGCGGACCTCAGAATTTTTATGTTTATGTCATTCTTCGTTCCCCTAACAAATGCGCCCGCGCATCGGGGGTTCGTAAAAGGGGGGTTGTCCCAAGGTGGGGTCAGGGGACGAGCCCAGTTGGATGCTCACATCCCCTTGTTCCAGGGGCCGTTTGGAGCGGCTGTCCTCCCAACCCCTCTGCCCCTACCCCACCTTCACGCCCCCCTGAGGATACACATGCGTTCGGATGCAACTCCTGGGAGGTTAAATTCTGATTTTGCCTTGGTCCGAAATCCTGTTTAATCAGGCTTAATCCTGTTTTATCCGGCTTAATCCCGTTCAATCCAGCTTAGTCTTGCTTAATCCGAGGCCTTTCCCGCGTATCGGCCCTCCAATGGGGCTGAATCCTCTTGAATCTTTCCGACGAAAACCTCCCAGTAGTTGCCTCCTAACATGCGCCCGCGTAGGAAATCTCAGTGCACAGGTGCTTCTTGTCACGCGCGCGTGCGCGTGCACTCGCGCGGGCCAGAAGCGGACGTGCGGTGCCGCCGACGAGCAGCGGAGCTAAAGCAGCCGCAGAGGGAGGAGGCGAAAGGTCGAGGAGGAGGAGGAGGAGGAGGAGGAGGAGGAGGAGGAGGAGGAGGAGGAGGAGGGGGGAGGGGGAGGAGGGGGAGGAGGAGGAGAGGGAGAGAGGAGGAGGAGGAGGAGGCGGAGGAGAGGAGGAGGAGGAGGGAGAGGAGAGGAGGACGAGGAGGACGAGGAGGAGGAGGAGGGAGGAGGAGGGGAGGAGGGGGAGGGGAAGGAGAGGAGGGAGAGAGAGGAGGAGGAGGAGGAGGAGAAGGGAAGAAGAAGAAGAAGAAGAAGAAAAGACGAAGAAGAATAAGAAAAATACGAAGAAGAAGAAGAAGAAGCAGAATAATAAGCAGAAGAAGAATAGAAGAAGAAGAATAATAATAAGAATAAGAATAAAATAAGAATAAGAAGAAGAAAAGAGAGGAGAGGAGGAGGAGGAGGAAGGGGAGGGGGAGGGGGAGGGGGAGGAGGAGGAGTTGGTGGTGGAGGGAGGAGGAGGAGAGGAGGAGAAGGAGGAGGAGGAGCAGGAGCAGGAGCAGAAGAGGATGAGGAGGAGGAGGAGGAGGAGGAGGAGGAGGAGGAGGAGGAGAGGGAGGGGGAGGGGGGAGGAGGAGGAGAGGAGGAGGAGGAGGAGGAGGAGGAGGAGGAGGAGGGGAGGAGGAGGGAGGAGGAGGAGGAGGAGGAGGAGGAGGAGGAGGAGGAGGAGGAGGAGGAGGGAGCAGGGGGAGGGGCAGGAGCAGGGAGGAGGAGGAGGAGGCGTAGGCGGAGGCGAGGAGGAGGAGGAGCAGGAGGAGGAGGAGGAGGAGGAGGAGGAGGAGGAGGAGGAGAGGAGGGGGAGGGGGAGGAGGAGGAGGAGGAGGGAGGAGGAGGAGGAGGAGGAGGAGGAGGAAGAGGAGGAAGAGGAGGAGGAGGAGCAGGTGGAGGAGGAGGAGGGGAGGAAGATGGAGAGAGGCAGGCACGTCGGCGGCAGGCAGTGGCATCCCGCCTCACTCCACATCTGCTGCAGGCGTGCGCTGCGCCCTCCTGGGCACTCAGCTTCTGCCCATTACCATGCACTTGAGTTAAGTCGGGCTCGTCCCTCTGCAGGGGGAATATTCAAACATAGTCACAAAGATAGCAGCCTGGTGACTATTTTTGGGGCATTGTTTCACCATGTTGGAGAATTTCGTTGACTATGTTTTATGTTTCGTCGAAAATCCCCTTGTAGGGGGACAGGCCCGACCTAAGATTACCATGCACTTGAGTGTCCTTCACCGCACGGGTCTGCCGACCAATTCGCCTTCCGGTGGAAACTCGTGCCAAGAAGCACCTTGCTTGCCTCCAGGGTGCCCTGGGTTTCTTGGGTTTCGATGGCTTTGCCATGGAAAGCGCGACGCGCCCACACTGAACAATCAATGGACGTGCTTGGGTCTCAGGGTTGGGTTTCTTGCGAGCTGCTTTGTAGTGTGTCCAGCACGGCGCGAAGTCTGTATTCCTTGTTGCAACATGTGCCACACGAGCGCTGCGAGCATCATGCTTAGAGTTCGCCCAGCGTCAAAGATCGTGTTCCACGCCTGTCTGTGTTTTTCTCATCCGCTTTCCAGCCGCAGCTTTTCCACGAGCTTGAGCGGCGACGCTCTCCTCCATGCGACGCTTGCGCTAGCATCACTCCAAGTGTGAGAAACCTTCGCACATGGTTTATGTCCCCCCACCTGCTGCTCCGTTTCTTCCTTTATGCTGCTTCCGCGAGCGCCCATGTGCAGGCGACCAGAGGAGACAGGGCGCCACCGACAGCAGACGAGGACATCTCCCGAGCCTTCCGCATGCAGTCCAGCAGGGACATAAGCTGAAGGGCGCGGACCTGTAGTAAGCTGGCGTCCCGACCAATAGTTCCAAGACTACCAAGAATGTAACACTAAAAGCTAATCATCCGCATTCGAGAAGCAAAATTCCAACACCATGAAGACGAATCGATATGATATGCATTCTTCCCTTGTATTCTGGGTAAGCCGGCATTGCTGATCTTTTTGTTTTCGGGGGTTGGTGCACCACCCCTCGGCTGAATTATTTGTTTATCCGGTATGGATCGCGTGAGCC